TTTTATTCCAGTGATATTTTAATAAGTTTTAATACTGTCTTTTCTATGTTTTTAACTGCAGCTGGTGTGGGTCAGGAATGTATTAATGTTATATTTTATGCTGTAAGCCGTCCTGGGGCTTTTTGTGAACAGGACGGCATATAAATATTATAAATAAATAAATAAATAAATATTCAGGGGTAGACTGCCTCTATGCAAAGAGGTTCCATTTAGTACTCAGTCCAGTCCTTGTTGACTGACTTTCTCCTGCCAAAGCCGAAACCCCTGCACCGTTCCCCTCAGGCGCGAGCCTGCAAGCCTCGGAGAAGTAGCGAAACCTTTTGAGGTGACAGCCCCAAAACTTTGAAGTGGCAGGGCGAGTGCAGAACCCCAGGCAATGCTCGCGATCCTATGCCAGCCCTCGGTTTTCATCTCCACGTGGGGCAGAGCAAATGGGTCTGAATTACCAGCTCACCACCGAGCTGCCCAAGCCTTGGCGTGACAACGGGCCTTTCACTGGGAAAGCTCATTTCTCCCCGGCAACTGTGCGGCCGGCCACTCGGCTCCGAGGAGTCTGCGGGGGCAGAAGTGAGCATCCCCGTGGTTGGAAGACTGTCGGTGCCTCATCCCCAGGGGCCCTGTGCCAGCAACCGCCAGCGTGCCTGGACAGTGAGCCATCTCCGGGACAATTTTGCCACTTCTGGGCGAGCAGGAAGCTGTTCTAGCCGCTGCTGCTAGAAACTGGGTGTATTCCGAGCACGGCCAGGAGCTCTTAATCATGGCCCTCATGCAGGGAAAAGGGAAGGAGAGAAGGAAGGGGCATTGGCCGTGCTGCTTGAAGGCTCTGGACCTTTTCCAAGAATGCCAGTGTCTGACATCCTCTCCTGACATTTGACTTCTAGCCTGCTGGTTTGTTATTTATCTATCTCCTGCTCCTGGCCCTGGTTTCTCCTGAACTAGCTCAATTTTGTCAGTCAGTAAATAGGTTTCCCACACAAATTCCTCATCGCAGGCTGTGTGGGAGCGTCAGATAATCAAAGGGGAATGTGGCTGCTTGGGACCAGGGAAGGGCTGTGCAGAGGCAGAGGTGGCGTCGCTCCAAGCAGCAAAGGAATGGCGTTGCACTGGGGTGTCTTGGCCACTGCTTGGGACTAAGCTTTTAGGCTTGTGTTTTGGAGACCTAGGCTGCATATGCAGATTTTTCTAACTGGAAGGATGAAGAGGGAGAGGAAGAAGGAGAAAAGGAAGGAAGGAAGGAAGGAGTGAGGGAGGGGGGAAGGAGAGAGAGAGAGAGAGGGAAAGCTGTCAAGTCCCAGACTGAAGCACAAAATAGAAATTTAAAGTGCTTCGTGCAGTGTGTGTTCACACATCTTGCCGCTCTATCTTGCCACAATAAAACAATGGGGAAAAAAGCAGGTAAATTTTCCTTGCTGGGTATATTCCACAGGAAAGAAAATCATTTCTGCTTCCCGAGCCTCGGAGTCTTTGCCGCCCTTCTTCTGAACCTTGCAACTAGAGAATCGGGTTGAGACACCGCCAAGGGAGGCATCGCAAGCGGTCTGAGACGGCGACGCCTCCCTGCCCTTCCCCTCACTGACAGGGTGCAAACTGTAAACGTCCAGAGGACTCGGGATGGGTGTGGGGACTCGCCTCGCCTCGGGTGGAACCGCTGGGCTGCTGCATGCTTGAATGGAGCGGTACAGCGAGCCCGTGGGGAGTCCATTGATTTCTCTTTATCATCTACTTGCCTGACTTAAAATCGTTTTGAGGTTGCTGTGAATTATGGATGGCAGTGGGAGTCCCCACTGGGAATCCCTGTGTTCTGGGGAAGGGCAGAGATGTATCCCAGCTGCCTCCACGCTCTCTGTGCTGCTGTTGCTCTTGCCGTCGATGGTCGGTGGCCATCGTCAGGATTGTCTTCGGCCGCCTGGCACTTCCTTTCCGTTTGTCACATGGGGGTCATGGAGAACGGGAGCCAAGCTCAAGGCTTTGCTGACTAACCCCTGACCTAGTAAACCCTCCAGCTTTAAAAGAAGCAAATGGAGAAGGAGAAATCACACCTGTCTTTTCCAACCTGATTGCCTGCTAGGTATATTGGACTACAACTCCCAGCATTCCCCAGCTGGGGCCACAGCCCTGGGAGCAAAAGGAAGGCTGCCGCTTGGGTGTTGGTCTCCTGAGAGCAATGCCCACCGTGTTAGCCTTGCACTTCCCACTTCTGAGCAGCCTCCTCCAGCTGGACCTCGGCAAAAGATGCAGCGATGGTTGAGGCCCAGTCGGCCGACTGAGGGCTTGCTGGCCCGGTTGTCTGGTGCGGAGGGATCAAGGGCAACTGGAGCAAAGCCCGGCTTTACCCCGTCCTCTCACCTCCCTGCATTTTCTTTCTTTCTTCCTTCCTTCCTTCCTTCCTTCCTTCCTTCCTTCCTTCCTTCCTTTCTTTCTTTCTTTCGTAAACTTCTGTGCCGCCCCATTCGCCGAAGCCTCGGGGCGGCTCGCATTCTTCTGGGGCTTCATTTTGTTCCCTTTGGCCCAGGCCGGATCTCTTCCCCTTGGTGCCCCCCATGTCCGCCTGCCCCTTGCAGAGGTGGGGCGAAGCGGCGGGACGAGGGTCTCGCCTCCCGGTTCTCTGCCAGCCAAGCACAAAGGAGCAGCGGTGATGGGAAAGCGGGTGAGGCGGGGAGCGGCGGATGGCCATGGGGGTGAGAAGGTGGACTGGGCTCCCTGTGGGAGGGGCCCTAGGGTGTATCTTGCCCCCCCCCCCCGACCTGGCACGAGCATTGCATGGGAAGGCAAGCGGGGCAAATGCCCCTCTTCCATCTCGTTTGCCGCTTTATCCCCCAAAACAGCTAGCAAAAACCTGCCACCAAAACGATGGCAAAGCGGCTTGCAAGAACAACAAGTCCAAACAGCACGAACACACTCAGATGCAGTAACAGCACAACAACTACAAAGCAAACGCAACCTCCAGCCTTACAGGCCGAAGTCCCGTCCTGAAGAACTCAGACTTTTGCTGCTGCTGGAATGAGGGCAGGAAGGGCATAGCCTCGCCTCTGCAGGGAAGTCATGCCTCTGCGTGGAAGCATCTCCTGCAAGGGACCGCCCTCGTCTCCCCACCAGATGCCCTGCCAGCGGTCGAGGTCTCCAAAGAAGAACCGAACAGAAGATCCCCAGGACCAAGCAGCTTCTGAGCGTCGTCCGCGGCGTCTCCTCATCACCCCCTCTTTGCAGCCTCCGGGGGACCCCTGGGAGACACGGCGGCTGCGCCACCTCATCTTGGTTGCCCAGGGCCAGCTTCTCCATAAACGCCCAGGCGGTTTGCCCTTAAGGGGAAAAGAGCAAGAAAGCTGGAATGTGTTTGGGAAACGCAGCTCCAGGTGGGCTTCTCCTTCCTGCCAAGAATATCAGCTCCACCTGAAATCATAGCCCCGGAATTCTGGCGCTAAGTTTTCGGCCAGAACAAACATCTGGCTCTCTCTCGTGGGTGAAAGATCAGAAGACCTGCGCACAGCAGCAAGCACACAAGGCTCTCCCCCCGCCCCACTCCACCGCACCACACAAACACACACACACAGAGGAGCTCCCTAGAGACGCAAACATGGCACGGCCTGTGATCGCTCGCAGAGGAAAAGCAGCGAAACGCTTTTAGTGCCTCTGTGTCCTACCGAGGATTAATGGCCAGACCTTTTGGCTTGTGCGGTTTCAGTTTACCCTGCAAAAGTTTTTCCTGCTCTGATTTCCAGCTGGGGAAGGCACTTGTTCCTTCCTTTAAGGCAGAGATGGGCAGAAGGTAACTCTAGATCCGCTGGTGGATTTGCCATTGATTGGCCATTTTTTGGACTCCCAGTAATTCAGCCCACCAACGCCAGGTCCTCTAGAACCCTTGCCCAAAACACCTGCAGGACACCAGGTTGCCTGCCCCTGCTTTAATGACAAAACGACTGTTTCACACTACATGAGCCTCCAGAGAACTTAGACCAGCCAGGTAGTCTTTTTGGTATGGATGCACTGTGAGCTCTGGTGCAGAAAACACATTTCTAGGCTCTGGACATGCTCAGAAACACCCTTTGTTTCATTCTAACCGTGTGCTATTTGCACCTGGATCTCAGTGGTGGGTCCTGGGGTTCCAATAACACAAAAGAAAAGTCAGCACGACAAGCCAAACCTCTGCCCTTCCCTGCTTTAGGATGCACTAGCAAAACAGAATTCTCCTTCCGCCTATTGTAAAGCAAGTCTTACCAGTGTAAGAAAGGTAAGGTGGAGTGACTCTGAACACCGTAATTCTTCTGCTTGTGCACTTTTGTCTGTGTGCATTAGTGACAAGATGCTTCATCCGCTTACAAGAGGATTTAACTTCTGGAGAGCCCCCGGGGAGGGACCTGAAGCACCTGGAATGAAACAATTAGCAGCTCCTGCTAACAAACGCTCATTTGCAGGAAGCAAACACTGCAATGGAGACTTGCCAGGAACCGGTTCTGGAAAATAAACTCTGTTCCTGTTAAAATAAGGGACATTTTGAAGGGAATTATTTATGTCCGACCTTTCTGTACTGCCCTTCAGTAGAAATTCCCAGGGTGGCTCACATAGGCCTTTCTTACACGCACACAAACACACATGTACACACTGACCGAAAATTGTATTTCTCGGTTAAGACCAGGCTTCCTGAGAGACTGTTTTGCCCCATGCAAGATTACCAGCATTTTATTGCTCTTCTTTTGGTGCTGCGCACCAGGGGCACACTAGGCAGGGCTATGAGAGCAGGCCTCCCCAGGGACTCTTGCCATGCTCTGGAACACCCTTCCCAGGGAGGCTCAGCTGGCACTCTTCCTGTAGTCCTTCCCTGGGAAGTAACAACCTTTCCTTTCATTCAGTCTTTGGCTTATAGGGTGGTCTGTTGATGAAGAGGCCGGTGCTGCTTATCCCTTTATGTTTTGCTTTCAATTTGTCTTTCAGCTTGTCTTTTTTTTTAATCCCCTGATTGCCACTTCTGGGGAAACTCAGGACATAAATGATATATCCAAAAATAAAAGACCTGAAGACTAATTTTAGTTTACTTACTGAAACATCAGATGAAGGGGTTCTGGAATACCCCTAACGGAGCAATAACCTCATTTGGTCACATCCTTTTAGACAACAGAGCAAAAACGCAGCGGTTGTATCCCTTAACCGATGCATCCATGTTACATAATGTAAACATTTGTGTACATCCAGAAGCTGATGTTAATTGTTGAGACAACTCGTAATCTCTCCTTTCATATGACAGCACATTATAAATGGCATGTCAATAGAAAACAGATCTGGTCTCGTCGTGGCCGGGGAATCCAGCGCGGCTGTTTGCTCCCGGCCAGTTTCTGTTCTCGCAGAACCTTCAGCTGGGGCAGCTGCAGGGCTGATGTGCCCCTGAGAACTACACCGGAGTTACGTTGCAAATCCAAGCTGGAATTCAGGAGACCCGGGTTCAAGTTCCTGCTCCGCCGTGAAGCTACCTGGTGACTTTGAGCCGATCACAGGTTCACAGCCTCGCTTAGCTCACCTGGTCAAAGTGTGATACAGTGGAGAGGAGCAGGACCGTGTGAGCTACCTGGCACTCCCTGCAAGAGGAGAAAATGCAGAATGTGAATATAAATATACGGATAGTATTACCCCTATGGGTGCAGGGGGAAAGAGCAACAGCAGGACTGGTTCCGAGAAGAGACGGGGTCAGCAGCAAGGGGAGAATCCTGTTTGGTACAGTCACAACTGCGCCACTTCTTTGGGTGATGAGAAGCTCTAGAGGTGCGGTACTGCCAGGGAAAAGCAGAGGAAGACTGAGGTCCAAAGAGCACATGCAGCTCATTCACACAGTCGGGAAACACGCGTGCATGTTGGCAGCTCCCGAAGGGACCACCGAGACGGAATCTGCACGAGACGCGTTTACAACCCCTCTGTTGCATAAGCTTCGGAGAGGGGTGGGGAGGCAGCGAGAGAGTTCGCTGGAGACACCAGAGAGCAAAATCGAAGGGTCGACTGGACTGAGACGAGACCAAAGGAAAAGCTCGCGGAACCGGCACGGGTGAGCCTCGTTAAGGGGTGCGTGGGGAGCAGGCTTGCAACACGGCGTCCCGATCAGGCCTGGAACCCCATCTGAAGCTCTTCTTACGCGGTCAAGCCTTTCGCAGCCTTGTTATGGCAGAGCTTTTGCTCTTTTTGTGCTGGCAGTACCAGCCCAGGTCCGATTCCCTGTGGAAGGAGGGCGCTGGAGGTTTCTTGGCGATCCGTGATACTGGCATTTATTTGCAAAATCACGAGTGGAGCACAGATGGACGCGCGAGTGGAATGCTGCAGGGACGCCATTCGGCACGAGGCGTGTGGGGCCACGCTCTGCCCCCTGAGCCTTTCCCTCAAAAGCAGGGCTATTTGTCTCCTTCCACACGTGGATCTTCTCACTGGCTGTGGGAAGACACGGAGGAGCCATCCCCTCCAGCTACCACATCTCTGCCCCCACGGAGACAGATCCAGGGAACAGCTGGGGCTATTAACTGGCCTCGGTCAGGTCTGAGAATCTGGTAAGGCCACCTTTTCTCCCCCTGCAACACGGCCACGCAGCTGGATCGTGAACGTGAGAATGCAAGAAGAGCCAGGCTGAACTAAAGCAAGGGTCCGTCTCCTCCTGCGTTCTGTTTGGCCAAGCGGGTGCCTAGGGGAGGCCCACCAGAGGGGGGGCACCTGCCTGCCCCTGCTCCCAGCCCCCACTGAATTCAGCCGCAGAGCCCCTCTGCCCCGGGACTTGCACCCAGCCACCAGGGCTTAATGGCTCCTGATCAGCCCTGTCCTCCGGCGTTGATTTAATCCCCCTGAAACGACCTAAGATAGTCCGTGGCTCAGTGCAGACGGCATATTGCTGGGCACATCCAGTCCCTTTCTTGCATCTGTCTGTTGTACACCAGTGTGAACACTGGTAGATTTGGTGCATTTGACACTTGGGTTTGCCTGCTCCCTTCCCTTCCCTTCCCTTCCCTTCCCTTCCCTTCCCTTCCCTTCCCTTCCCTTCCCTTCCCTTCCCTTCC